AAGTTCATGAACTTTTAACTAGGTGGGATTCTGGTGTAATTTCCAGAGTTGGAATCCCCACAGCTATGTGCCAACATGCCTGCTTTATTAAATTGGAACTTTAAGCATAGTTTTGCCTTCGACTCTGATTTAATTCTACATGGTATTTGGAACGCTGACACTATGGTTACATCTACCCACATGTTGTGAAATTAAAGAGTTTTCATCATGTCTTCTGATTATTAGTTGGTGTTCGTGGATGTGTTTTTCCAGTCTTCTGCTTGTTTGTTCCACGTAGTGGCTGTTGCAGTCATTACGGTACACATGTTGTAAATGACTCCTGGGTCCCCGTCCCCCCCCGTGACCGCTGAATCTAATGGTTTGGTTGAAGTGCTTTTTAGATGGCTTATGTGCTGTGATGATTCCAGGTGGTTGTAGGAGTCTGTTGGTGGTTTCTGAGATGTTCTTAATGTATGGCAGTATTGTTCTTTTTAGGACTTGTGCTTGTTGTGCTGTATTGGGTTGAGTGGTCAGGCACTTTTTGATAAAGTTGTGCAGATATTCATTTCGTTGGAAGATGTTGTATAGATGTTCTGTTTCCTTTTTCTGCTATTCATGTTCGCTACAGTGCATTTGTGCTCACCTAAATAAAGTTCTTAGGCAGCTTCTCTTGTGACACGTTGGTTGTCGCTACCCCAAGGGAAAATCGATTGCATCATTCATATGACATCACTATATCCAAACCACCAAAGCAGGAAGAAAGGAGTACTCACTAATATACAAAAATATGCAGAAGGGAAATCAGGAAGGCTAAGGCTCAGATGAATTAAGGCTTTCTAGGGATGCAAAAAAAAAGGGCAAAAGGGTTATTTTGATATATCTGGAACTAGAGGAAAGTCAAGGAAATGGTTGGTTCATTAGTTGGAAAATATGGAAAGATGGTAAAGAGTAACAGGAAGAAAGCTGAAATGCTTAATTTCTATCTTGCCCCTGCTACTTCTCAAAAGGAAAAAGTATTTGGACAGATCAGAAGCAAAAATGAAAAACAAAAAATGCAGATCAAAATAATAAGGAATTGGTAAGGGGAACCTTGGTTGTCTGAGACAATTTAATCTTCTGGGCCAGATGGATTACATTCCTTTTAATAAGGAAATGGTGAATGTCTTCTTAGAGCCAGTGATTGAAAAGTTTAAGAAATCCTGGAGTATAGTAGAAACACCAAAAGAGAGTCAACATTGTTTTAATATTTTAAAAAGCGGAGAACTGCACCCAATTACAAATCTATCAGATAGGCATTAATACTTGGGAAAAACCCTAGAAAAATAATCAAGAAATGGGTTTGCAAGCATTTATAGACAAATAGGGTGATTACCAGAAGCTAGCATGGTTTGTTGAATACAGATCATGCCAGACAAATCTTACCACTTTCTTTGACAATGTAGCTAGATTGATGGACAAAGGAAAAATAGAGGTAGCAAACTGATTTTAGAAAGGCCTTTGATAAAAAAATTGACCACAGAATCCTTCTTGATAAACTAGGACAATATGTGATGAATGGTCCCATCCCAGAGAGTTTCCCAATTAGCTAAACAATATTAGCCAAGACATGTGTCCCAGTGATTTTGATTCAAGAAGTAGTAGAATTAATTCCTTTTCTTTGGAAGCAACAGCAAGAGGCAGGGGGGAAAAAAACCACAGCAAGCCCTTAGTTGATATAAGCCACCAGTTTTCAGGAAATGCCATTATTTTCATTATGGACTTGTATAGTTTATCAGCACTATCTCCAGATCTCTCTATGTAAATTATAGGGCAATGTATTTTCTGGTTTTAATATTGTTTAATATGCCTTATACCAGATCAGATCTGATCCATTTTATTTCTGCTCTGTGGCAATAATTCTTAGTCAAAAGTTTCCTCATTATCTGCTTTACATTCCAGTGGTTGAAGAAGTTGAGGACTGAACCTCGATGAACGTATGTAAACAATACATGCTGCCAAGGGATTAAAATGCTATTTAAATTTAGGTTAATCCCACCTATCATCCTTTTGGGCAAATGTTCAGAAGTGAACTGGGCCCACTAATGTTCTGCTGAATAAAATAAGCGATTGGCAACATGTGAATCTTTTTGACTGAATAGCGCAATGGACATAAAATTTAACCACAATTGTGTTCATTAGAGCCAAAAAAAGGAATGCAGTGGGTTGGCAATATCATCCAGATCTTTGGCTAAAAAAAATAATGAAAATTTTATTCCAGACTAAACACTTATGGAAGCAACGAAAGTAAGCGAATACATCCTGCATTACAACAACCATATGAGCTCCACAGCTTTTAGCTAAATGCAGACATTACTCTGAGTGTCACAGTGAAAAAGAAAACCTATAAAGTTTATTTGGCAGCTGAAGAAAAAGAAAACCTGCAGCGGTGGGATATAGATATTTTTGACTCCTTCCCCTGTATTCTGATTGATGGCTTTTGCTTTGCTTAAGTTTTTTTTTCTAGAAGGGCAACTGGAAAGCTTGATGGCAGTGAGGTTCCTTTTATAATATTCCAAAGTATAATCATCTACAGGGGGACCAAACCTGGGCTGATTTTATGCAATTAGGTTTGGCTCCAACCCCAGAGGTGTCTTCAGTTTCACAGTGTTATATTCCACATTGTTTCAATAGTCCTTAAAGTGAAAAGGAGGATCTAAGATGGCTGGTGATAACTTAAGTAAAATAATGTCTTAAGCTATATGATTTCAGACACATTCTAGTGAAGCAAAAGAAAACAATGATTGTATTACACAGGTCAAAACATTGCCATGTAGGAAATAAAACGCAAGCACTAATATCCCTCGCTTGCATTACTATTGTGGTAATCCTCAGTCTTTAGACTTACTACAAAGGATCCTTTTCTTTATGTGGAAGAATTCATGCTTGCCTCAACTCCATACGCAAATGAACCGGGATTTAAAGTGGCTCAATTTATGTGATAATTCTGTTTCTCATTTAGAGAAAAGAATTAATTTGAATCGGAGACCCACAATATCAGACAAGGTCAGTGGTGTGTAGCTTCGGATCAGAAGGCATTGATTGACATTCAACAATAACTTCTGAATAATTTTTTCATTTTCATTTACATGCACAATCACTCATCTGATTTTGAATTTTTTTTAAGTGGAGTAAAACAGGATTTTTACTAAAAAAAACATATTGAGTCACATATTAATGATTAAGTTTGTTTTATGTTCCTGTCCAGATAAACAATGGTAGGGAAGCTATAGAGATGGAAGAAAGAAGGACATCTCAAAAGTATAAAAAACCCAAATTTATTAGATCATGCATTTTAATATATATATATATATATATCTTAAGGGGATTGATGATGAACATTTATGTAATATAATATGATCAGAACATTTGCTTGATTAAAATAAATGTTTCTCTGGACTGTGAAGAGTTTCTCCAGATAAGGCCATCTGTGTATGAACCTATATTATCAATGCTTTTTCTTCTACTGTTATCAACTGATTTCCTTATCTAAATGCAACAGGAACTAACTCCAGACATAACATTTCTGAGATCACACGGACTAACAAAGACTTCAATTCATAATTCATAAAGTCAAAATTGATAAGATTTGGAAGTATGTTTAATGAACATGAGGCTGTACAGTCATTACCGATGGCAGCATTTTTTTCAACTCATGCCTCCCTCCAGAAATGGTTAATTTGCAACTAGACAATTAGAATATAACATATGGGAACAGATTCAAGAAACCATATGCTTCAGTTGTCATGTATGAATTACACTGATTTGAATGGATTCATATATCTGCTAAGTGGCAGGTGGAATAGCAAAAAGTATGAACTAGTCAGGTTTGATTTCTTTCATAATCTCAAACATATTTTTACCTCTGTTGAAAATGTACTCATGACTAGCACTAAATCACTGAACCTTTAACCTACAAACTATGGCCTATCATCTCAGAGTGGGAAGATTCTTTTAAACTTTGTCCCATCCAATGATGGCCAGCCAACTGCCTTGATCTGGGGTTCAGGGAAAGTACCATACAATGGCAGATTTGGATACTCAAAAAATGGGAGTCAGTCAGGACAAAATAGAGCAGCTGTCATATCTGGAATTCATGTATGTGACTCCAAAGAAATGTGACATAAGCATGCACTAAAAGTACAGCCAAGATGAACTGAAAACAACTTGTTAATCAGTCCTAAGTTGCTTCTCAATAACTGCAATTAGTTAAATATTTATGTACGCATCTTCCTTCTCTTCAGCAGGGCACCATCCCCTGGATAGGCATTTCTGGTTGTGATGGTCTCAGCTCTATGAACACACAGAACTAGTGTATGAGATATCCAAAGATCATGACGATGGAATATCGTGGGAAAGATCTCAGTGATGTCATTTCTCAGTGCAAAACACATTACACAGCCTGTATAATATTTTTTGCAATTCAAACATTGAGATACTCCACGTAGTTATCTATGACTGAAAATGATCTTCAGGAAAACATAAACAAATCTATAGTTGCTACAAATATGTGGTTGCTTCTCTGCTTTCTCGTTCTTTAGCTTGTGCCACTGCCACATTAATGCACTGTAGCCACTCCTCGGCATTTTTTTCATCTTTGGCCTTGAAGACATACGTCTTATTGTCCGTGAAGATTTCAAAGGCCCGAGGAAGACTGCGATCTCGGCGTTTCTTGGCTACCACTTTGACACTCTGGACTTTACTCAGTTCAATGGGACAATCATCTGGATCATCTTTCTGAAAGAGCAATGGAGAAGGAAACAGAGATTAATATCTCTTCAGAAAAAATGCATTGTTACTAGTTATTAATCCTTTTGTTCTGTCTAAGTGCCATCATCCCAGCTTCATGTAGATAAGAAGCTAGTTCAACTGCCATTCAGGCTCTGAGATATGCTAAAATAATCACTCATGTTCAGTATTGCCATGATTGAAATTCTACCAAAGTGCACTTACTTCCCGATGTCTGATGCAAATATATACTTTTCAGTATTTGCGCCATGATGTCGTGGCCTGTTATCCGCCGGCCCCTCCAGCAGCCGAATCAGATGAGGAGAAGGCATGGGAGTCAGGGCCAGCATCAAGGCAGCCTGAGAGCTACAAGGGGGAAGAGGGAATGGAACTGGCAGAGAGAGAGAGAGACAGAAGCAGAGCCTGGCCTGTCCATCAGCCCTCAGATGGAGAGTCAACAGCCCCCAGGTCTGGAGGTGGCTGATGAGGAAGAGAAGGAAGAGCTGGGTCCAGTGCCTGACATGCAGATGTGCAGAAGGCAGAGGAGAGGAAAGCAGTGGAAATCTATGGGCCGATCCTTGGGACAGAAGAGCCACTGCTTCTAAGCGAAGCCCCACCCTAGCTCTGGGGATAAAAGGCAGGGGGTGAAGATGAATAGGTATCACAGAAAACTATTCATCTTCCTGACGGAAAGACAGCCTACTGTGAGAGGAAGAGAGACTTTTTGCCAGGGTTGCTATCACTCCTAATAAAGGAATCATTTATTTAACTATAGAGGGTTTGTCATGTTTGGGAGCTCGGTCAGCCGGGTCAGAGCACATGACATCGTGATGCACAATTAATAATTTGTCCCCCTCCTCATCTTGTCCTTACTTGTCCTCACTATCTATGCTCCAAGATCAGGTGGGTTCCTGCCAGTTCTAACCTCTTCTATAGAAGAGGTTTCACAAATCTACAGTGCCCTTTAGAACCGGTTCCCTCCCCCCCGCCCATCCGCACATCATCAAGATGAAGAGTGAGAGGAGGAATTCTGGGAGTTGAAGTCCACAAGTCTTAAAGCTGTCAAGTTTGAACACTCCTGGGGTTTTTTCTAAAGGGTTAGGGGTGCAAGGGTCTTGTAACTTGACAGCTTTAAGACTTGCAATGCCAGAGTTCCTGAGCCAACATTTTGGTTGCTAAGCAAGAGCGTTGTTAAGTGAGTTTCACCACATTTTACAAGTTGGCCACGCCCACACAGACACATGGCTGGCAAGCCACTCCCACCCGGTCAAATGGCCAGCAAGCCACTCCCACAAAGCAGGCCACACCTACAGAAGAGGTTCTAAAAATCTTTTAAACCCACCACTGTCCAATGTGCTTAGGTGTAATATGAAACAGCAATTTCAGTATTCATATTAAACATTAGTTAATATTAGTTTCTGCAATGCTCTTTATACTTCTCCACGAGCAAGAACAAAGAGAAACCAATGTATTGTGGTACTGGGACTGTTGTGAGTATCAGGTTGAGGTTGACCTTCATCTCTGGAATTTAACTAGGCTGATTTAGGAGTGGTCACTGCCTATCTCTGAAAGTAAAAATGCTGTCTGTGTAGCTTAAATCCAAAGAATACATAAAATAATGGTACTACAGTATAGGCTCAATTTACCATGTATGAAAAAAATCTCTGAAACAATTCGTTTCACTGGAGCTGGGGTTTTCTTTAGGAATTGGTGCTTACTAAGATATCAATATGTATGGTTCCCCCCCCCTCTTTCAGTATTAGTGCACATGTTACAATACTCTTCTAAATGAAGCCAGAGATGTAGGATTTGGCCAATTTTCCCACTAGGTTTTAAATACTTTTAATGCATGTGAAAGATGCCCATCTGATAATCCTGAACTAAGAAGTGTTCTGTTTGTTCTCTTACTCAGTCTGGCACAGAAACATATTCAGCTGGCTCTAATTCCAGCCACCTGTAATGGGCTCATTCCTCATTGTTATTTAACGCTGTTAAAATAAATGGCAATAACACTAACAATAGCACTTAGACCTATATACCACTTCATAGTGCTTTACAGCACTCCCTAAGCAGTCAGCGTATTGTCCCCAACAATCTGGGTCCTCATTTTATGACCTCAGAAGGATGGAAAGCTGAATCAACCTTGAGCCAGCCAGGATCGAACTCCAGACTCTGGGCAGAGTCAGCCTGCACAGAGTCAGCCTGCACCACTGCATTCTAACCATTGTGCCATTACAGCTCCATATTTTACCAAATAAATGTTGGTGGAGAGGCAAGCAGGGAGAAGAACTGAGATTCAGTGTTAATTTACCAACGTCTTAATGCTCCACAGAATGAATTTTATGTAAGACGGGCATCCTACTTTTTCCTCTTCTATGGATGTTCCTGCTATTTTACCCATAGTTCTTATTCATACACTAATCCAGCAAACCCTCCTTGTCAGTCATGCTTGCTAGTGCACAAACACACTATCTGGGTCAAAAGCTACAGTTTCAAGAAAAAACAAAGTCATTGTCTTTTAGGTCTGCCTGGAGCCTCATTAGCTTTTTCACTACAGCAACACTGACAAGATTTCATTACACTGGCAACACATTTTCCTTTAACCAGTGGTTGTATAAAAGGAAAGAAGGAGAGGAGAGAGGGAGGGAATGAAATTGGCAGTGTTCCAAGTTCCAATTTAGACAGAATGTACAGAGCCCACCCACTCTGATTTCTATATCTACTGCTGTCCTTCTCTAGCCACCACCACAGGTCATCTGCTTTTCTGATCCTTGCCTACTCATTCTCTTTTCCCCATACAGCCATAGAAGATTGAAGACAAACTACTAGTGAGATATCTCCTCACTTGCTACTCCTCTAGCTGTAGCTTATTTTCCTTAGTCTTTTATGCCAACTCGTTCAGAAGACTCCAGCAACTTAAAATAGTGTGCCCACCAGTGGTGGGATTCAAATTTTTTTTACTACCGGTTCTGTGGGTGTGGGCGTGGCTTTGTGGGCGTAGCAGGGGAAGGATACTGTAAAATCTCCATTCCCACCCCACTTCAGGGGAGAGTTACTGCAAAATTCCCATTTCCTCCCAATCAGCTGGGACTCGGGAGGCAGAGAATAGATGGGGGCGGGGCCAGTCAGAGGTGGTATTTACCGGTTCTCCGAACTCAACATTTCCACTATCAGTTCTCCAGAACTGGTCAGAACCTGTTGAATACCACTTCTGGTACCCACCAACCAGGTTAAGTAATATAAGCCAAGGATATATCAATTGTTCCTATTCCATCACACCAATGTGCCGAGGAGTTAGTTCAACCTTTCTTTCCACCCCAAAAGCCTGACAAAAGTCAGATCTTCAGGGCTCTTTAAAAACTTCTATCTTGGGATTGCTAGTCCAGAATAGGGAAGCCATCATCAAGAAGACTCAACATCAGTGTTCATGAAGATGATATTCTTTCGGTGGCAGGATTCTATTTTTCCTTTCTGATCTAACTGGATGGGCAGATTCTACCTATTATCATTGATATTGGTGATGTCCAGACATTATGCCATGTAGGGCCTAAAAAGTAACAAAGGCACCTTAAATTGCAACCAGATGGTAACTGGCAGCTAATGGAGCCCCCCAAAATATCATATAGGCAAAGCTAGGCATGCCCATAAGTATATGGGCTGTCACGTGCTGAACCAGTTGCCTTACAGAAGGTGAGAACAAATGATAATGCAAATTTTATGAGAGAAGCTACTTGCGAATATAACTACTGTTCATTCTGCAGAAGCCAGTATATTGGAACAGAGGTGTCAAACTCATGTCGTCACGGCGGCATCATGTGACGTATCAAGACTTTCCCCCTTTCCTAAACCAGGCGTGGGTTTGGCCTGCGCGTAACACATCTGACCCGTCGGCCGGGAGTTTGACAGCCCTGTATTAGAGGGAGTAGCTTCTGCATGTAGCATCATAGAGCAAAGCTCTCTCCATTGATGACTAGTGACTCTCTTTTGAAAAATGTCATGGATGCCATTACCAAATTGGCTGCTGAGGAGCGCACATAGTCATAAAATGATTGCCACAGTGGATGTGTCCCAGTCTCTATTTATATATATATAAAAAATAGGAGAGGCTGAAAGGCAAAACATTTGATCCAAAACTAAAATGTAAGACCAAAGAGGATCTTAAATCTCAAAAGACAAAACTGCTTTTGAACCCCAATAGGATCACAATACATGTAAAAGCAGATTAATGAAGCCTCATTGCATTACCTGACTCAGAAATCTTAGGAAAAACTGTTAATATGTTTTATAATTTACAAATAAATTAACTATAATAAATAGCACAGCTGCAGAAGATGTTGATGCACACATTTGGGAACAAAGTAACTTTTGTGGCCTTAATATTTAAACTCATAAAATCATATCTTTTTGATTAGGTGATACTAGCTGAATAGATATCAGTACGCTACATAAATCTAACTGGCAGGGACTCAAGCAACCATATGTTAACTTGCAAGCTAGACTTCCAGTTAGAAATCTACCTTGGCTAGAAAAAAAAAGAATACTGCACATTTGGATTAAGATTGGGTTTTGCTTGTAACATTTTGCCCTAAATGTGCCAAAACTGAAAAGTTCTGTCCTTATCATATATGATGGAGCTACTGCTAAGATTGGTAACCCAGATTATCTTTACTCTTTTTAAAAAAATGGCTTTGGAAAACAAAGCAGTATAAATTTTTAAGGACCAATTGGATCCACAGCTATGAAACAATACTGATGGATGGATGGATTTCACTTAGGAAATATTCTTATGTCTTAAATTTGTAGTGCATGCTAAAGAATCATCACCATTTTTCAGAGTTGGGGAATGTAGAAAGTTTTTAAAAAGTGTTGGTTTTTTTCCCCCCTCTTCAACTTACAGATTTTCCTTTGTGAAAGAGAAGTTGATTGCCAGCAAGTGTAAAATAGCGAGTCTTCCATTTTTTAATGAATTTCCATCGGATTTGCTTTTCCTTCAACCTGCCTTCAATCAGTGGCTGGCCATCTTGGTTCACAACTGTGGATATTTAAAAATATTACCAAACGTCCTATTTTAGAAATAAGTTGTCCCCGCCCCCGCGGCATCTTTGTAAGACACAGATTCAATTTCCCCTTAATAAATTGGAATCACAAAAAAAACTGTTACTCCTTCTAAAAAAAAATCAAGTCAGGAGTACGTATTCATCATTTTTTTATAAAGTTTATGACAACTCTGGAGACAAGTTGTAATAAATTCCACTCTTGTTTACATTTACTGATTGCCATTCATCTCTCAATAGGGGAATAGAGAAGAAATACTGAGAATTGGTTTGGACATGTAGATATGTACATTTACTCTAGCATTTCTTTTTACATTGAAAAGAAATAATTCCAAGAAATGGGTAAAATTCCTACTTTTATTTCCTTTACTTTGGCAAAAGCTGATTGTTTCCAGCCAATCTTGTGCAAGAACAGATAGAGGAGGAGATTTGCAGCAGGACATACAGTTGAATTTAGTCAGAGCTTTGAAAAGAGGTTCATTGTAATGAGGTCCAAGTGCATTTTCTTGAATAATACTTACTATTCTTCTGCAAACCATTAGTATATCACAAAGAACTGAGGACGCCCCAGAGTTCTAATTTTTTTTTAAACTTTCAGGGTGCATAGTTAGATAAATACAAGGTTGAGTAGTGATGCTGACTTCAAAAGCTAGATAACATGCCCGAAAGTATGTGGCACTAATTAAAATAGAAAAGTTTAAAGGTCACAAACACAATACTATGAGTATTCCAAATATTTCTTTCTGAAGGAATTCTTATTTTCTTTGCAATTAAGCTGTCTAAACATGTAGAGTTTTGTACAGTAACCCTGTAACCTCTCTGTTGTAGAAGTTCATTTCTTAAATGGAAACAGCCTCTTTTTTTTTACAGGATTTCAGACACCAGGTGAAGACTTCGGTTCAGAGCTATAAGTGTACTTCCTATCCGAAGATTAAAGTTACTGGCACTACATTTCATTACGCAGATAAAAGCAAAAATGATATCCAGATATATTCCTTCAGCAAAGTATTGTATTGTCAATAGGGATGCAAAAACTTCTGACTATACCAAAAGTTATGTACTTTAAACGCATTATGTAAAAACAAATCAATTTAACAATTTCATTCACTTTGAATTGTTAGGTCCGTTATGACAGCGAGCCTTAACGAGGCATCAAGATATTTTAGCTATGTCAGAATTTATTATTTATTTGATGGCCAGGGCAATTTTTGTCACCTGGAAAATTCCATGCAGTAATGTCAAATAAGTGCATAGTTATTATATCTCTATATAAGGTAAAGGTAAAGGTTCCCCTTGCACATATGTGCTATTCATTCCCGACTCTAGGGGGCAATGCTCATCTCCATTTCAAAGCCGAAGATCCAGTGTTGTCTAAAGACATCTCTGTGGTCATGTAGCCAGCATGACTAAATGCCGAAGGTGCACGGAACGCTGTTACCTTCCCACCAAAGGTGGTTCCTATTATTCTAGGAGCATTTTTATGTCCTTTCGAACTGCTAGGTTGGCAGAAGCTGGGACAAGTAATGGGAGCTCACCTCCTTACGCAGTGCTAGGGATTCAAACTGCTGAACTGCCAACCTTTCTGATCAACAAGCTGAGCATCTTAGCCACTGAGCCACTGTGTCCCTTCAATTTATATATACATATCAAACGGCAATAGAAACTGCATTATCAGATCAACAAAAAGAAAAAAAAATCTTGAATCACACTTTGCTCTGGAACATCATCCTGCAATTTTCTTGGCAAAAGAAAAATGTACTTGGCACAAGTGGAGTGGTGGTTTACTACTTCTAATAGTTTGCCAGGATTTCTTTTCTTTTTTTAAAATTTCCCAGCCTAACAGACAGTTCTGAGATTTCCTAGTAGTGTCTTATCCAAAAAATAAACAGACTTAATTCTGTTGAGCTTGTAAGTACAGTGAAGGCTGGCCAGGTTACATCCATGTTGCGTCTTAGCAACAGTAAGGAAGTGCTGTCACTGCTTGCTTTGGGATATTTTTCAACTTCCTGATTTAGCTTAGAATATAGGGATTTCCTGAAAGTTTCCATCCAAGTCCAGCACTGCTTAGCTGGATCAAGAACAGCCAGGCTCCCCAACCCTTGTTTGCTCAAGCAAGAGGAGTCTTCGGATACTGTAGGTTCTGGAGCAGCAGTCTTTAAAAGTGCCAACATCGGACCTTGGAGGTGACTGCGGCGTGGGACTGTCATAAGATTTAGCCAATTCTTTTTTCTTTTCTAAAATTTAATTTTGGATTCTGTAATGCCTATAATTACTGTATTGCCAACCCTGGAATAGTTTTTGGTTATGTTTATTTCATACCAGTGGAAGATTTCCACCTTGGTAGGGATGGGAAGGCCTGGAAAAAACCAGAAAAACCCCCTGTTTCCCCCCATTTTTTTTAGTTTTCTTCCCAGGCCTTCCCATCTTTACTCCTGGGCCAATTACAATTTGGAGGGTATTTTAATTGAGGCTGTACCAAAAAAAGGTGGGGGTGTCCACAAGCTGTACGTGCATCAAAAAAGCCAATATGTGATTGTAATTGTGCAGTGGATGCCCTATTTCCGAGATGCGCATAAGAAAGGAGTGGGGCATCCACCCTTCAGTCACAGCTGCCAGGTTGATTTTTTTTAACCCATTTCTCTTTTGGATACCCATGAGCAGAAAGGAAGAATTAACCTCACTCATGAGCTGGAGTTCCCATTGTATCGGCCCTTTTAGCAGCCATTATTTAGGAAAATGTACAGGTTGTCCTTGACTTACAACAGTTCATTTAGTGACTGTGCAAAATGTCAATGGCACTGAAAAAAGTGACATGACCATTTCCACACTTACAACCATTGTGCCGCTGTCATGGTCACACGATCAAAATTCAGACACTCGGCAACTGATTCATATTTATGACGGTCATAACGCTCATATTTATGACCAGGATCACCTTTTGCGACCTTCTGACAAGCAAAATCATTGGGGAAGCCAGATTCACTTAACAACTGTGTTACTAACTTAACACCTGCAGTGATTCACTTCATAAGTGTGGCAACAAAAAATGGAGCAAAACTTGCTTAACTGCTGTTTCACTTAGCCACAGAGGTTTTGGCCTCCATTGTGATTGTAAGTTGTATTGAAAAATATTAAATGCAATTACAAATTAAGATCATACCTCATTACTATTAAACAGTTTGAAATCAGAAACTCTTGATAATGTACAATAACTCCCAAAGAGGTGCAGGTTTACTTTTGCTCTATCATCACTTCAACTGGTTTTCAAAGTACTTGGAACCTCTTCTGTATGAACGTAAACTGACTGTATGTATGTATGTATGTATGTATGTATGTATGTATGCATGCATGCATGCATGCATACATACATACATA